TGGATTTAATATATTTTACTGGTGGAACTTGGAAATTTCTCGGTGATCTCCATGAGCTAGAGCTACAACTGAGCCAGGTGTATAATTTTAGGAAGTCAGAGCTCACTTGTGATCTAGACTAGGTGTTTCTGATTTGTATTAAGCGTCACAAACCTGAAGTTGAGCTTTTCCCATCTCTCCTGGAAGAAAGGCTGTACATGGAGTGGCAGATTTTTTAATTCGCTAAAGGCCTACGGCCTCAGCTCCTCCTCATTCTTGATGCTTGCTGCCTGGAGACTGTGGGCTGTATTTTCCCACAGTGCTGGGAAATTTCTGTTCAGAGGTGCCAAGCTCTCAAATTAGGCAATGAGGATTTCATTTGGCCACACAATGGGCAAAGAAGCTAACGTTGTGTGCAGAGTGAATTCTGGGACCAAGCGTACCTTGGGCCACTTCTGTGTCAATGGAAATGAGATGTCTCTGTCTGCTTTGCACGTTTCAAGTGGCATGTTGGGAGCTGCCCTTTCAGAGTCGTTTTGCATTCTGCCTTCCTCTGGAGGTGACTAGTGGCAGCTGGCTGTGTGGGCTGCCTGTAAGAAGCTGGTCAGACCATACCATTATCTCTTCCCATAAACACTGCAGCTTTGTCTCTGGCCCCATCTCGCCTGTAACCCAACACAGAGCAGTCACTGTGTCCTCTGCAGGCCTAAGTCCCCTTCTGAGTGTCAGGGGTCTTTTGTTCAGAAGCTGTATTGTCCCTCATTCTGGAGCACAGCTCATAGTGGCCATGGTACAGCATCAGTATTTGGGAAAGAGGAAGAGTAGATTTACAAGTGTTTTGAATTCTCACCCCAATTGCTGAGCAAGTGGAGTATGAGCAAAATTAATTTTGCATTCTGCAAAAAACCAAAAAAGGTAAAATGAAGATGAGACAGAAAAGGTTTATCCCTTACAAAAACCATCTCTAAACATTGACACTGCTGCTTGCAAATGAGCGAGTGATTTGGTTCATTTGTATGAATGTAGGATGTATGAATGTGTGAATGTAGGATTCTTTTGGTTTTTTCCTCTGTTTGATTTGCAAAGAGAATTTCTATTAACTTTAATATGAGACATGTATGAATCTCTAGAAAGCGCTCCATGGAGACTTCCCAACGAGCAGTCCAGCTATGGAAGAAATTACTTTCTACCACAGTCAAAGTGTGGCCCCAACGTTTGATAACAGATTTAGTTCCTTATGGCCGTATGTCTGCCTGCTGAATTGCCTCAGACTTTTTTTCCCCTTTTATCTCATTCATTGTAAGTCCAAAAGATCAGTGCTACCTATAAAACCACCGGATTGCCAATCGCCTGTTTCCACACTGTCGTCACAGACGTTCACATTTCTTTTTCTTAATTTTTATTATCAAAGTAGTATATACACAGATTTAAAAATGAACTAGGGCAGGGGCTTATTATGACAAGCAAGGCTGCTGCTGCTTCAGGTTTCTTGTTGCTCTTCTCAGAGGTTAACCACCTCATTGAGCTTTCACTGGCTTTTTAAAAATAAACACTTTATTTTTTTTAGAGCAGCTTTAGGCACAGCAAAATTAATCAAAAAGTAGAGAGTTCATTTGTCCTATGCTCTTGTCCCCAAACACACACAGCCTCCTCCACTATCAACACCCCCCACCAGAGTGACACCTCATTATCACCTGAGTCCCGAGTTCATGCGTAGGCTCACTCTTGGTCAGTATATCCTATGTGTTTGCACAGATGTCTGATGACTTGTGTCTACCACGGTAGTATCATACAGAGTCATTTCCCTGCCCTAAAACCTCTGTGCTCTGTTTGGTCGTCCCTCCCTCCTCACCAACCCCTGGAAACCACTGACTTTTTTTTTTTAACCATCTCCATAGTTTTGTTTTTTCTAGAATGTCATATAATTGGAATCATGCCATGTGTAGCTTTTTCACATTGACTTCTTTCACTTAGTAATATGCATTTACTCCTTATTACTCCTTGTCTTTTAATGGTATGATATAGCTCATTACTTTTTAAGGCTAAATAATATTCCATTATCTGGGTGTACCGTAGTTGTTGATTCCAAGTTTTGGAAATTTTGAAGAAAGCTGCTATAAACATCAGTGTACAGGTTTTTTGTGTGGACATATGTTTTCAGTTCATTTGGTTAGTTACCAAGGAGCACTATAGTTGGATAATATAGTACAAGTATGTTTAGTTTTATAAGACACTGTCATCCAGAGTGGCTGTACCATTCCAGCAATGAATGAGAGCTCCTGTTGTTCCATATCCTCAGTAGAATGTGATAGTGTAAGTGTTTTGGATTGTAGCCGTTCTAATAGGGTATAGTGGTATATTTCACTGTTTTAATTTGAAATTCCCTGGAGACATATGATGTGTGGCATCTTTTCACATGCTCATTTTCCATCTGTGTATCTTCTTTGGTAAGATGTCTATTCAGATCTTTTGCCCATTTTTAGTTGTTTTCTTATTTTTGAGTCTTAAGAGTTCTTTGTATATTTTAAATAACAGTCCTTTATCAGATGTATATTTTGAAAATATTTTCTACTGTTCTGTGGCTTGTTTTCTTGTTCTCTTTGCATTGCAATTTTTTGATTTTTCAAATTTTGTTGACTTCTGCCATGATAGATGGGGATTTAACTTATAACCTTCACCCCCTCCCAATATCATAATGTCACTGTTTTTAGTTCCTTTCTTGGTTATTGCTTTTATTTTAATAATGTATTTCATCTTATTTCTTGTCTTGTCAACTGTATAGTATCTGCGACTCTCTGTTTGTGAGAGAGGGTGGATATTATTGCCACTTTCTATTCCACCAGCTCACTCTGCCTCCTGATTTCTTTCATATATACTTTACCTTTTTTGCTAGCAAGGATGACAGTATTCATATGTTCTAGAAAACAGTATTGTGTACTCTGTATATAGGCCAAGTTAAATGGTATTGATGTTATTGTGACTACTTATATATTCTTCCCTGTAGGGTAAAGTCATGTGTTATGATTTTGTTACTTATAGAGCTGCTTGTTTTTATGAAGTTTCTTGGTTTTTTTCACTATTGTTATTATATCTTCTTTTTTTAATACTCTTCATCCAGTCAGATGTTCTGTCAAAGAAACTTCCCTTCTGTGGGACTATATCTTCTTGAATCAGTCTAGATTTATTTTCTATACTTATTCCATGGGTATCATCTCGAGACTTTCCTCAACTGGTTCCCTGTAATAGAGACACTGCTTCCTGGATCACTTATCCTCTTCCTCTTTAGTTACTCCCTTGTTTTGCTGAAGCACATCCTCAAATTTCTTGCTTAGAAAGGGTATTAGCAGTTTAATTTTTGCAGTCATTGCATGCTTTAAAATGTATTTTCTACCTCTGTGTTTGACTTATAGTTTGGTTGGATGTAGAATTCTAGTTTGAAAATCATTTTCCCTTCGAACTTTGAAGGTGTTTGCTTTGTTGCCCTCTAGAATTCAGGATTGCTAATAAATGATGATGGCCAGTCTCATTCTCAGTCTGTACCCTTTCCACAAACTTAAGCGTTTTTGGTGTTCTGAAACTTTATAAAGTGTATATCTCCATATGAGATTTTTTTTTTAATTCATTTTGCTCAACATGAATTTTGGAAACTCAGGTTCTTCAACTTTGGGGGAGTTCCCTTGCTCTTTGATAACTTCCTTCACTCTGTTTCCACTGGGATATATTTCTGGAAATTCTGTTAATTGGTTGATCTCCTGGAATGACCCTTGTGGTTTTTGTTTTTGTTTTAAGGCAGCATCTCCCTCTGTCACCCTGGGGAGAGGACAGTGGCTTCATCCTAGCTCACCACAACCTCAAACTGCTAGGCTCAAGCCATCCTCCTGCCTCAGCCTCCCAGGTAGCTGCACTACAGGTACACACTGCCACGTCCAGCTAATTTTTCTATTTTTTGTAGACTCATTCTTGATCAGGCTGGTCTTGAACTTCTGACCTCAAGCTATTCTCCCACCTTGGCCTCCCAGAGTGCTGGGATTACAGGCATGAGCCACGGTACCCAGCCACCCTTGTGTTCTTAATCTTTTCTGTTTCCATGTCTTTGTTTATTTTGTTCAACATTTTGGGAGAATTCCTTGATTTTGCATTCCATCCCTTCTATTGAATTTTTAGTTTGGCAAGCATATTTAAAAATTTTTAGAGCTTTTTCTTGTGTTATCTTTATTCTTTTCTCATAGCACTCTGGCCTTGTTTTCATGGATTATATATCACCTTGGATCCCAACCCTATCAGTGAGACCTTCCTTGAGTACCCTTATAAATTAGCTTTCTTCCTCAGCACTCCCTTTCCTTCACAGCTCTCTGCATTCCAGGGCCTCTGCACATTTTGTGCATTCTTCTCAGCCTTCCCGTCTCCCTGTTATCTACTGTGAGGTGTTCTTTGTGATAATTATATTATGGTTATCAAGTATGTAGCTTGACACTCAGCTCTGTTACTCAGAGGAGAGGTCCACACAAGAAGAGTTAACTTGAGAGTCATCAGTATACAGGTGGTATTTTATTTAAGATCATGAGAATGATTCGAATCACCAGGAAAATATTTGTATTAAGAGAAGAAAAAAGGCCAGGGACCTAGGTCTGAAGACTTTTCGCATGTGGAGAGTGTTGGGAGGAGGAAGAGGCAGCAAAGGAGACACACAGTTGGTGGCTGTGGAAGTAAGTGGGAACCAGAGGGTGTTTCCAAAAGGCAGGGATTATGTCAGCTCTGCTGAGAGGATTGAAAATATCCATGAGTTTAGACCAGAGGGAGCTTACTGATGACTCAGCGGACAGTGTTTTGGTCCAGTATTGGGCGTGGGTACAGGAATAAGTGAAAAGGGAAGAAATGAAGACAACCAGTGAACATAGCTCTTTTGAGGATTTCGATGTGAGGGGAAGAGATGAATGAGATTTGTAATAGCTGGAGGAAGATGTGGATTCCAGACTTTTTGTAACTGAAGAGAATCAAGCCTGTTAAATGCTAGTGTGAAGGGTCCAGTGGAAAGGGAATGTGCCACAGGATTGTCGGGGACGTGAGGGTCCTGACTGGAGTGAGTGAGCACGTTGGAGAGCAAAGGACACAGAAGGTGTGTGAAGTTGGAGACTTGACTGGGATGAGATGACGTGTGGCCTTGACAGGCCAGGGAACAAGTCTGAGGTGGGTGCAGCAGGGGTAAGAAATGCTCGCAGATTCTGGAACAGAAACACAAACGAGATATTTAAGGGGTGTTGGTCCAGCGTGTCCGGAAGGTAGGAGGGGCTGGAATCAGGAAGACCTGTGAGAAAACAGTTTCAAAAAATTAGAACATTCTGAGGACCTGGACTGGATTCAGACCAAAAGGAAAAGAAAGGGAAAATAAGGGAACATTTCCAAAGCCATTAATAGGATTTACTGACTGACTAGTTGGTTGCAAAAAGAAGGAACGAGGAAATTTTAAATAAGATTTTCAAGGTTCCTTGCATAGAGGAACCTGAGAATTGGCTGGTGCTACTGTCAGAAACAGATAAAAAGAATGACGGAAGGAAGGTCTGTGAAGTTAGCAGCCACTGAAAAGTTGAGAAGGTGAAGATTAAGGGAAAAATTAGAGTCAACAATGAAGAAATTATTAGAACTCTTTGAGGAAACGATTTAAAACAAAAATCCTAGTATTTTAGGTTTGTAGAAACTGCATGGGCAAGTTATTTTGTGTTGAGGAAGAAAGACAGCAATTTTGTGACAGCAGTTTTTCATTTGCATCTCCTGTCTGTCTCCCACAGAGCAGGTGGGAGCGTAATTGTTGAACGAATAAATGATTCATTTATTTCAGAATGTCACCATTTCCTTTGTCAGTTCACATTAGGGAGAAGACCTACTAAGAACAGCCCCACATCTCTATTCTTTGGGGCAGATGGGGGACCAAAAAAAGGACTAAAAGTATTTTATGTTCAGCTCATGAGAATCACCACTTAAAACAGTGTTTCTTTGTCTGATCCATACTTTCTATTCTCTGTAAAGACTTATTTTTTCTGTTTGAGCTCAGGAGTTCGAGACCAGCCTGAGCAATAGTGAGACCTCGTCTCTACTAAAAATAGAAATAAATTATTTGGACAGCTAAAAATATGTAGAAAAAATTAGCCAGGCATGGTGGCACATGCCTATAGTCCCAACTACTTGGGAGGCTGAGGCAGGAGGATGGCTTGAGCCCAGGAGTTTGAGGTTGCTGTGAGCTAGGTGATGCCACGGCACTCTAGCCCAGGCAACAGAGCAAGTCTCTGTCTCAAAAAAAAAGACTTATTTTTTCCACCCCCTGTCTGTATATTATTGATAGGATTTTTCCCTCCTGTGTTTATTTTTTTAATTTTCAAACTTTTTAATAAATTTATTTTTTGACAAATATTTTATATATTATGCACAATGTGTTGTACGGAATTGTATGAAACATGTATACATTGTAGAATGGCTAAATTGAACTGTTGAACACATGTATCACCTCAAATGCTTACCATTTTTTGTGGTGAGAACACTTAAAATCTACTCTCCTAGATATTTTCAGGTATACAATACATTGCTATTAACTATAGTCACCTGATGTACGTCTCTTGAACTTATTCTTCTGTCTAACTAAAGTCTTATACCCTTTGACCAACATCTCCCCAAGCCCCACCCTCCTTCCCACAGCGCCTGGTAACCACTGTTCTACTCTGCTTCTATGAGATCGACTTTTTTAGGTGCCACATATAAATGAGATCATCCAGTATTTGTCTTTCCATGCCTGGCTTATTATTTCAGTTATCATAATGTCCTTCAGATTCAATCATGTTATCACACATGACAGAATTTCCTTCTCTTTTTAAGGCTGAATAGTATTCCATTGTTTATATAGACCACATTTTCTTCTTTATCCATTCATCTATTAATGAATACTTAGGTTGATTCCATATCTTGGCTATTGTGAATAACAGTGTAGTGAACATGATAGTGCAGATTTATCTTGGGCATGCTGATTTTATTTGCTTTGGCTGTATACCCAGTAATAGGATTGCTGGATCATATGGTGGTTCTATTTGTAATATTTTGAGGAACCTCCATACTGTTCTCCATAATAGCTGTACTAATGTACATTCCCACCAATACAAGGGTTCCCTTTTCTCCACATCCTCACCAATAATTAGCTTTCATGGTTTTTTGTTTGTTTTGGTTTTGGTTTTATTTTTGGTTTTTGTGAGATGGTATCTCTCTGTATTGCCCAGGCTGGCCTTGAACTCCTGGACTCAAGTGATCTTCCTGCCTCAGCCTCCCAAGTGGCTAAGACCCATGGTACAGGCAATGTGCCACCACTCCTGGCTATCTTTCCTATTACTTATAGTACCCATTCTGTCAGATGTGAGGTGATCTCTCATCGTGGTTTTAATTCGCATCTCCCTGGTGATTAGTGTATTTTTTTTAAATATAATCTTTGGCTACCTTCTGGTTTTTAATTTATTGAACAAATGTAACTGTAAGAAAGAGACAAAAATTATCAATCAACCTAGCCTAATATTCAGCTGTTCTCAATATTCTGTGTTCCTATTTTGTATGTCTATGAATACTTAGTTTGATGTGCTTATGATCCACCACAATATAATTTTCATTGTCATTTAAAAATGTAACAAATCAGACATGTTTCTTTTGTTGTTGTTGTTTTGTTGTCTTTATAATTATGAGGTGGAGCTTGCTTTTATTTTAGCTTTTTGGAGTCAGCCAGTGAGCCTCAGTGGGGTGGTAGGAACAGGTGATGAATGGGTTGGAGGGGACAGGAGACCTGTGGTGCTGATAGAGCCAGACTCATTCTGCTGCTCCTCTCGACTCTCTGCTGTCACCTGGCCACGGCACCGTGCACGTGACATGGCCAGCATCAGGGCTTCAGAATGCACTGGTTAGCGCTAAGGCTTACCTCCCAGGGCTTGAAGGAGACTCTACTGGTAGAAGCCTTCTAATCCATGGCACCATGAGCAGTAGGGCTGCTCCTGCTCTTCCATCAGTGCCTGCAAAGAAGGGTGTCGGGCCGGAGACCTGGGCTCAGATGGTGTGGGGGCAGCCAGGCACTGGCTGCAATTTGGTCTGATGATGAATTTTAGCAACTTTCTCTGAACCTGACCTCTGATCCTTACAGTTTCTGAAATGATGTGTGCAAGGAAGGTTCCTTTTAGGAAAGACAGATGTAGTCAAAAGAGGAAAAAGAACAGATGTAGTAAAAAATACAACTGGAATGTATATTTCCATAATGCACAGCTGGATGCATTTCACAAATATACTTTGAATTAATGTTTTTTAAAAATTCCTAGCCGTTTAGATAAGTAACACTTAAGGGAAGAATTGACTATCATTTGGCAGCAAAAGGAAGGAGTTAAACTGTAGCTAGAAATACGGACAGAGTTCATCTGTTCTATTTTAGCTCTTCCCATCTTCAAAACCAACAAATAACTGGAGGTTTAAAAAATAGAAAGAAAACAAAAGGAGCCTTATTTGTGGTTTTACTAGGAATGGCAGACGGATGGTGAGTCTGCCTGTTCTGCTGCAGTTGTGGTGAAACTTTAGTTCTCTTCCGGTTTTTATCATGGTCCTTGCCAAATGACTTCATGTTAGAGACTGGAATTACTAAAACATTTTATTGCTTGGTGGTTTTAATCTTCATTTCACAAGAGTAATTAAATGAATCTTTTCTTTACTGACTGTGCAGTATATTGCAAGTGCAGCATCTGGACATGAAAAAGTACGGTTGACCCTTGAACAACACTGGTTTGAACTGGTTATCAAAAAAAATTGAGAAAAAGTTAGGTATGTCATGAATGCATAAAATATATGTAGATCCTAATCAGTTTGATCATTTACTTCCGTAAGATATGCACAAATCTATTATAAAAAGTTAAAATTTGCCACAACTTACCCATGCAAACAGAGACCCTACATGGCACCATTTGTAGTCAAGAGAAATGTAAACAAACGTAAAGATACAATATTAAATCATAACTGCATAAACTAACTGTAGGACATCCTGTACTGCTGTAATAATTTCATAGCCACCTCCTATTACAGTTGTGGTGAGCTCAAATGTTGGGAGTACCTGCTTAAAATGCCCTGTGAACTAATTATGTCAAGGTGAGCAGTTTGCCTCTCTAGTAAATTGTAGATTGCAGTAAAAAGTGATCTTTTGAAGTTCTCATGTATTTTAATCATGTTTAGTGCAATATCATAAACCTCAAATAACTCCAAGGAACCCATGTGAAGTGCCACTAATGATGTTGGAAGTGCTTCCCAAGAAGCAGAGAAAAGTCATGACATTACAAGAAAAGTTGACTTGCTTGCCGTGTACCTTAGATTGAGGCCCACAATTGTGGGTGCCACCATTTCAAACAGACAATTCATCTTGCAAACAGACAGTATCAATTTATAGTAGTAATAAATAAAAGTACAGGGCTGTAAATGTATTTTCTCTTGTGAGTTCCTTAATAACATTTTCTTTTCTCTAGCTTACTTTATTATACAAATACAGTATATAATACATAAACAAAATATGTGTTAATGAATGTTTGTTATTGCTGAGGCTTCTGGTTAACATTGAGCTATCAGTAGTTAAGTTTCTGGAGAGTCAAGAGTTATACATAGATTTTTTTACTTTACGGGAGGCCAGTGCCCGGACCCCTATGTCCTTCAAGGGTCAACTGTATTGGAAGTCTGTTATAGTTCTCTTATTAATAGCTTCCCAGGAACTTAATTTTAAAAAGTTAATTTAAAAACTTCTAAAAATTAAAAACATATTAATATGACAGTTTAGACTTTATGAAGTCAAAGTTTCAAATGACTCAGTTGTAGTAGGTGTTTAACAATGAATGCCTTCAGCTTTTGCATCATCAAGATTCAGGATGTTTATTTAATTAATTTATTTTTTTTAAGAGACAGGGTCTTATTCTGTTTCCCTGGCTGGAGTGCTGTGGCCTGATCATAGCTCACTTTAGCCTCTGACTCCTTGCTCAAACAATCCTCCCACCTCAGCCTCCCGAGTAGCTAGGACCACAGGCGCCTGCCACCATGTTTGCCTAGCTTTTCTGTTTTTAGTAGAGACAGGGTCTCGCTCTTGCTCAGGCTGGTCTTGAACTCCTGAGCTCAAGTGATCCTCCCGCCTCAGCCTCCCAGAGTACTAGGATTACAGGCGTGAGCCACTGCGCCAGGCCCCCATTTGTGCCTGTTTCTCTATGTATACACGTGAGCACACCACTTACACTTATGTTAAAAGTGATATATCGTTGGATCAGATCAGTCTCTCTTTAGTATTATTTGTATCTTCTCATTTCTTTTTTTTTTTTATTTCGGCATATTATGGGGGTACAGATTTTAAGGTTTCAATAAATGCCCATTCCCCCCCCCAAAAGTCTGAGTCTCCATCATGACCATCCCCCAGATGGTGCACATCTCACTCATTATGTATGTATATACCCACCCCCCTCCCCCTCCCTCTTCTCATTTCTTAATCAAATTTTTGTGCTCAATCAAAATATGTTAATGATTTTTTTAAAAGTATTTATTGAGAAATTCACAATGAACTTGAATTTCATCAAAAGGCTGTTGTTTAGTTGCCCACATTATCAGTTCAGATGTATTAAATTTCAAGTTACAGAAAACTGAACTCTCAAGGTGACTTACATGAAGGGTATTTACTGGCTTGTATAACTGGGAGGCCAACAGCAGGCCAAGCTTCAGGGTTGATTAGATTTAGCGACTCAGCAGTGCCATTAAGGATTTAGCTTTTCTCTTTCCACGCTGCTGTTTGTACTCCCTTGTGAGGGCAGGGTGGCTGCCAGCCATCCCCACACCCACGTGGTCTCTCTCCTGCCTGGCGATGTTCGACAGCTTGCCCACAAAACCTCTGCTCTGTCTCACTGACCCTAGGAGAGGTGTGTGCCTGTGCCTTGACCCAGCCCGCGGCGCGCGTGGGCGTGTTCCGACCGCTCCCACGGGAGTCGGGCTGCCCCAGTCGGAGCTGGGACCTCACCCACAGGCTGCCTCGCGTGGGCGTGTTCCGACTGCTCCCACGGGAGTCGGGCTGCCCCAGTCGGAGCTGGGACCTCACCCACAGGCGGAGGCAGCGGATGAGGGGTGACAGCCACACTGTCCACTAACTGTGCCATGTGATTTGAAGTCATTTGGGTTTTGTTCATTAAAGTGCTTGCTTTTTTCCATTTTCTTCTTCTTTTTCTGTCTTTAAGGGGCCATTACAACAACCAAACGGACAGGCATTCCAGCACCACGGGAATTTTCAGCAACTGCCTCGAGAGAGAGGCCTGTGTCACGTGCTCCCTCCAACCCCAGGAAACCGGTGTCCAGCCCAACTTCTCCTAGCACTCCCACCCCCACCCGGCACCTGAGGACTGCTTCCACAAAGCCCAAGCAAGAGAATGAAAGTGGAGAAAAGGCTGTGCTTGAGTCCCAGGTTCGGGAACTTTTGGCAGAAGCCAAAGCAAAAGATAGTGAAATTAACAGGCTTCGAAGTGAACTAAAGAAATGCAAAGAGAAAAGGACTCTGAACACCGAAGGGACTGATGCTTTGGGCCCAAATGTAGATGGAACATCAGTCTCCCCTGGTGACACAGAACCTTTAATAAGAGCTCTTGAGGAGAAGAACAAGAACTTTCAGAAAGAGCTTGCTCATCTGGAGGAGGAAAACCAGATCTTGAAGGAGAAACTGACCTATCTTGAGCAATCCCCCAATTCAGAAGGGGCAGCAAGTCACACCTGTGACAGCAGCTGCCCGACATCCATAACTCAGGAGTCGAGCTTCGGAAGCCCTGCTGGAGATCAGCTGTCGAGTGAGATTGACGAGTATAAAAAAAACATCCATGGAAATGCGTTACGGACGTCAGGTTCCTCGAGCAGCGACGTCACCAAAGCTTCTTTGTCACCAGATGCCTCTGACTTTGAGCACATTACAGCAGATACCCCCTCGAGGCGCCTGTCCTCCACTAGTGACCCCTGTAAGAGTTCGAAGTGTTCCGTTGCTGGGAGCTCCCCACACGACGCAAGCGAGCTGGCCCTGGCATCCCTCACAGAGAAGATTCAAAAGATGGAAGAAAGTCACCACAGCACCGCAGAGGAGCTGCAGGCCACTCTGCAGGAGTTGTCAGACCAGCAACAGATGGTGCAGGAATTGACGGCCGAGAATGAGAAACTGGTGGACGAGAAGACGATGTTAGAGACATCCTTTCATCAGCATCGAGAGAGGGCAGAGCAGCTAAGTCAGGAAAACGAGAAGCTGATAAATCTTTTACAAGAGCGAGTAAAGAATGAAGAGCCCAGCACTCAAGAAGGGAAAATCCTGGAGCTGGAGCAGAAGTGCACAGACATCCTTGAGCAGGGCCGCTTTGAGAGGGAGAAGCTGCTCAACATTCAGCAGCAGTTGACCTGCAGCTTGCGGAAGGTGGAGGAAGAAAATCAAGGAGCTTTAGAAATGATTCAGTGTCTGAAGGAAGAGAATGAAAAACTGAATGGATTTCTGGAACTGGAACGGCACAATAACAGCGTGATGGCCAATGCTTTGGAAGAGTGTGGAGGTACCTTGGAAGGGTTGAAGGCGGAGAATGGGTCTCTGAAGGCTCGTGTGGAGGAAGAGAAGCAGAAGCCCATAGAGACCAGCACCGTGGGGCCCATGGCAGAGAGCTGTGATGTTCAGGAAATGTTGCAGGTGGCTAGAGCCGAGAAAGGTCAACTGGAACGGTCTTGCACTGAGCTCAGACAAGAATTACTAAAGGCAAATGGTGAAATTAGACGTATTGCAAGCCTGCTAGCCAAGGTAAGAGGGGACATCTCTTTAATTGGTATTTGCTCATCTTTGTTAACATTTCTCTCCTTGACCTTTAAATTCACAGAGCAAAGAGAACTGTTTGCTCAGTCTGTCCTTCATGAATCTAGCATTCTAGCTTAAAGACCTGTTAGGTTCCAGACAGATCAGATTGGGGGTACAAAAATGAAACACCCGTGTTTCTACAGGGGTAGAAACTACAGGCAGTGCAAAATGTCATGGGGATGTAGTGAATCAAATAAGAGAGGCTAACGCAATCATAAAGAATATCATAGAGTCTGCCCAGACCCAGTCTAGCACAGAGGAGAGACATCTTAGTATGATATGGGAGAGAGAGGGGTAGGACAGGAGGACTTCCCAGAAGAAGTGGCAGCTGAGCTGAGTCTTGAAGATCAAGTGAGAGTTAGCCATATCTGTCAGGTAGCATGCTTTTAGCTTCTAGTAACAGACAGTTAAAATCACCTCCAATTTTCCCACCAAATCACATTTTGTGTTTTCTTCCAGATTCATGTGTGTGTGTATGTGTATCTTACAAGTTAAAAAAAATTTAGACTTATCCTATACATGTTATTGCCTTTTTTTATGTTTAACTTTTTTCTCAGTGTATTTTCATCATTAAGTATTCTTTTAAACATTATATTAAAGGCCAGATAGTATTTTATTACACAAGTATTTCATATTTACTAATCCCCTATTGTTGAACATGTATATATTATTGAACATTTATGTTCTTTCCAGTCTTTCAATATTGTAAATACATTTTTTATATCTCTCTGACTATTTCTTTAGGAGAAATTCTTAGATGTTGAGTTACCGAGTCAAGAGTATAAACATTTTAAAGACTTTCCACACGTTCAGCCAGATTGCCCTTCAGCAATATTATGCCAGTGTGTTCCCACCAGCAGTTCATTAGAGCACTTGTTTCCCTGAGCCCTTGCCAACACTTGATATTAAATTGTTATGTCATGCAAATCTGTTAATTATTTCCTTTTTTAAAAAACCTTTTTTTGGTTGGGAAGACCTTCCCCAGCCCACAATCAAATAGATAATCACTTTTTAAATTTTTTAAAAAATTCTTTAATCAGTCTGGGATTTTGGTATATGCTACAAGACTTGTGGTGACTGCTGACCCTCCACCCACCTCTCAGGGCAGTGGTGGAGGTGCAGAGAGATAGCTTCCTGTTTCCTGTGTCCTCCAAGCTCCGGGTCAGTGATTTAGGGGTGAGAGAATCCTCCCACCTTATTTCAGGGGCTGTCACTGTTTCAAGAAGCAAATTATGCCACAAGCTCCCAGGGAGATTTTTCTCTACTGCCTCATCTAACTTAAGACCAGTCAGTCGCAGCCCAATTCTGCCTTGAGCTGCACCCCCCCACCCGCACGCCCCGTCATAGTGGTGTCTCGTGTTAGAGTTCCTACTGTTGTCTGTGTTCTAAATTCACAAGTATTGTATTGAATGTATGGAAATAATTTCCTTAGAGGTTACTAGCCAGGCACTCATTTGAACTGTAGCTTGATAATTGAAGCTTTGGATTAAGTTTTGTTATCTTGTAGAATAAGATGATTCTTTTTTTTTTTTGCTTTAAGGTTACAAATCACTCTGACAAAATGTTTAATCTCCCAGGTGGACTTTCTTGAAGAACTCTCTCAGTCCCTCATCTGTCTCTTGTATATTTTGATTAGCATTACATTAAATACATATGTCAATGAGAAATAATTTGGCATCTTAAAAAATAGCTTATTTTTTTCTGATCATAATGTGATATATTCATTACTGAAAATTTAGAAAATACAGTATAAAAAAGAAAATAAATATTACCTTTAACCTCACTGCTTAGAGGAAAAACTGTTAACATTTTGCAATATGTCCTTTCAGTCTTTTCTCAGTTTATACATGTTTAGGCATGCATACAAACTTGCATTAACTTGATTATGATATTTAATCTTCCTGTCCAGAAGAATAGAGTATGTCTGTCCACATTCCATGAATACAAAGAGCTAGTTGGATTAGTTTATCAGTTCTACTGTTAATCTATTTCTGATTAATTTATTTCTACTTTTACCTTTATTTTCATCCTATGAAAATAGGATGGTGTATTTTTTTGGTATATTTCTTTGGTTTCTTCCTAGTTTCTTGGGCAAAATTTTTCATTCATTTAACTTTGTCCTTTCTAGGCTGATAATGAAAACATTCAAAGGTATGAATTCACCCCTTCTTGTAGCTTTGGATAAATAAAGACAATAAAATCTAGAATCTTCTGGGATAAATCTAATTTGAAGAAAAAGGGAAGTGTTTACATTTTCTATAGAGTACAAGGCACAACATATATGTTGAAAATCAAGCTGTTATTAATATTATAAAATTAAACTTGTTCATATAGCTCATGTCTAATTGCCTGCTAACTAGAATTATCAAATACTAGGCTGGGTGTGGTGGGTCATGCCTTAATTCTAGCACTTTGGGAGGCCAGGGCAGGAGGATTGCTTGAAGTCAAGAGTTCAAGACCAGGCCGGACACGGTGGCTCACACCTGTGATCCTAGCAATCTGGGAGGCTGAGGTAGGTGGATCGCTCAAGGTCAGGAGTTGGAAACCAGCCTGAGCAAGAGCAAGACCCTGTCTCTACAAAAAATAGAAAGAAATTAATTGGCCAACTAAAAATATATAGAAAAAAATTAGCTGGGCATTGTGGGGCATGCCTGTAGTCCCAGCTACTCAGGAGGCTGAGGCAGGAGGATCGCTTGAGCCCAGGAGTTTGAGGTTGCTGTGAGCTAGGCTGTTGCCACAGCACTCTAGCCTGGGTGATAGAGTGAGACTCTGTCTCAAAAAATAAATTAAATAAAATGAAATAGGAGGTAGGTCTCTGCCTCATACAGTAAATGGGAAATTGATAGGACTTTTACAGTAATTATGTATTTTGTAGGCCTTTTCTTGCACTTTGAATTCAGCAGTTTGCTAATATTGCCATTCTTTTAAGTCTCTCTGATGTACACCATATGCATCTTGCTGGCAGCTTGATCTGTGGTTATGTGACATACTTCTGTATGTCTCTGAGGAAAGGCCTGATTTCACAGAATCGCAAGGCCTCCACCTCCTAGTGCCAGGCTGGCAAGCAGCATGCAGTTGCATAGATTGTTCTTCCAGACTATAACACAATCTGGCTTTAAACTTTTTTTTTTTTTACTTTCACCTTTTCAGTTGTTTGGGATATTGATTTTAAGTTCAAATATCTTTACTAGGCTTAAAACCTAGAAGTTTCAAAAGAAAAATACTTATTTTCCCCCTGAGGTTGAAAGCTTGTAGGTAGTATCCTTAGAAACTTAGTTCTTTCTACAGAAACTTGGGTTTCTTCCAGAGGATTAAGGATATTATAAATAAGCACTCACTGTGAGTGGTCAGGGGAGAACCAGTAGAGGTGAAATGACCAGTTGTAACCAATGTTGGTCCCAGAGCCAGACTGATTCAGAGTCTGCAGTGGCAGAACCAAAATTTGAGAGAAAGATGTGGTGAGTAGATTACCCTATAACCATGACATCAGAAACGGATGCCTCAAAGGACTTAAGAGATCTTGATGCCTGGTTTAAACAGTCAGCTGGTCCAGGAGTCCATGCAGGTGATACTTTGAGCTGTGAGAAACAGAAAGCCCAACTGTTGGCAACATAAGCCAGCAGACGGTCCCTCTGCGCCCAGACCTGAGGTCACGAGATGGTGGTTGCTAGCAGTGGTCCGGGGGCCGAGGCTGGGGGCTGGCAGCTCAGTGATTCTTGGGCCCTCCTGCGAAGGGTGCAGGGTAGCTCAGCACCACCAAGTGCCTTGGCCCCACGTGTGCGGGCTCTCGGCAGGACATGTCTCCCCAGAATCCCCCAGCAGCTTTCGCTTTGTATCTGATTGGTCAGAACCAGGTGACGCGGCCACACCTAGCCCACCTCTCTCAAAATCACAAGATTACAGCCTGACTCTTGAAGAAATTGGGATTCTGTTAGGATGGAGAAAAGGGGGTGGGGTCGCTGGCTTTGGGCGGTGATGAGCGCCACTGGCCTCCCGCCGGGACTCCGGCCTCCTCTGTCCCCCACAGAGGACTCAGCCATCCGATCTGATCCCTGGACTCCGCACCTAGACCCTGCCCGCACCAACTCTCCCGCTCGCCCCAGGGCCGGGCCGGGCGGAGTGCTTGTTGGGGGCGTGGTGGGGAGGACGGGCTCTCTGCCCAAGCCCTCCCTCACTTACCTGTTCCTTCCTCAAGCTCCCAGTCTCAGCTACAGGGTCACTTCCTGAGAGCTCTTCCGGTGGCTGTGCGGGCGCTGTCCCGGCCTCTCCAGATGTCCCGGCCTCTCCAGATCGCCCTTGGTGAAGCGGAGCAACCGGGACTGCCTGCCTGCCCCGGCTAGCCCCTGGCCCATCCCCCGCAGCCTGGGGTGCTCTACGGGGTTGGCAAGTCTGTTTGGTGAGGTCGAGGGGAACCTCAGGGGACACTGCTCCTGCCTGAATAATGACTTGCTACTGTTAGAGAGTGGCTGAGGTTACTTTGCTGAAAATAGGGAGAGGCAATCCTCGTCGCTTCAGACCTCACTTGTGCCCCCCTTTCTGGCACAAAACGTCCTCTGTCTTTGGTGAAACAGAGGCTGACATCATGCTGGCAAGAAGGCGTGTCTGAAGCTTTTGTCCACAGCCTGTTTCCAACTCCCCGGGAGCCCCTGAGGAAGGGGGAGTCAGGAGGGGACTGTGGTGGCAGCTGGGGAGGGGCCGCAGGCCCCACCTGGCCATGCAGAGCCTGCTGTTCACCAAGAGCTGAGGCTCATGGAGATTAAGTGACAAAGCCAGAGCGGCAGTCTTTGTTGCCTGAGCTGCGACGGTTGCGCCGTGGGCAATTCATGACAGTCACATGTTGGCATGTCTGCTGGATCCCCCTCACCCTGGTCTCTGCTCTTGAAACCGTGTGCAGAGGGGCGAAAGCTGGCCCTGCAGGCGTGGTGGAGGCAGTTGGGTGGTTTGAAGAAGGGTGGTCTTGCCAGCGTGGCCAGATCTGCAGAACCTTGTGGCTCCAATCCCCGTGAGCCCACAGGGGCTGCTGCTTCCTGGGGCCTGGCGTCAGCTGCTGCCCTTTCTGGGTCCCTTGCCTGACCCCTCCCCCTGTGATGGACTCATTTTCCTCCTTAGTTACGTTACTACCTTCAGTGAGGTGAGGCCTGAACACCGTCCCTCCCTCTCGCCTGCCTGCAGTGCTGGTCCGGGAGCCCGGGTGCTGTCCCCTGGGAAGCACCTCTGCTTCTGAATGTCCCTCCCAGGTGCAGCCCTGCTTCTGAAGCTCCTCCAAGTTCCCAAAGCTGAAAAAATACAGATTTTTATCCTCCTCTTTGAGTTTTCCATTTTTCCATGACAGAAGTGTAAATAAACTAGCATATGCTCCTCTCTCTTGGCAGTGTTATATTCGAGATTCACAAGGCCGCAGGACAGAGAGAGAGAGTCACCGAGGCTGTAATTACCAAAAGGAGTTTATTGTCTAGCTCGAGCTAGGGTCCAAGCCCCCAGAGTACCAGTGCAGTGACCTCTTCTCCGAGCAGGGACCCTCCTTTGTGTGTTAGTCCCCTTTTTATAACTTAGTTGTTTATACACTGGTCATGCATCCACCCCCACACTGATTCTTACTTCATCCTGCCCCTGATAGGCCCTAACCTGTTCCAGGTCCTAGCTGAGAGACTCCGGTTTCCGCATTCTTTGTCTTTTTCCTCTGCATCCCATAATATACTCATAATGCCTTGCGGTTAGCAAACAAGCAGTAAACAGAAGCTGGAAGGTGTCCATTGTCCTTATAGCCCAGTATCTTACATTCCCCCCTTTCTCTTGGTTCTTACGAGCATTCTTGCTCGTATCCACGGTCTTGTATCTCTTCTATTCCTAAGCTGTTTTCTTTAAGACGCACCCTTTGGTATTGCTGCTGCAGTACCATTAACTGCACAGTATTTATTCGTTCCTTTATGAAAGTGACTAACCTGTTCAGAATACATGGCCCAAAGGTGAGGATGAGCATGAGCACTATTATAGGTCCCAATAAGGTAGATAGCAGGGTAGTTAGCCACGGGGAACTGTTGAACCACAACTCAAACCATCCTTGTTGTTGCTCGCGCTCTCGTTTTCCTCGGGCAAGTCCCTCCCTGACCTTTGCCATGGACTCTCTGACTACCCCAGTGTGGTCTGCATAGAAGCAGCATTCTTCTCCTAGGGCCGCACATAGCCCCCCCTGGTGGAGGAATATTAAATCCAGCCCCCTCTGGTTCTGCAACACTACTTTGGACAACGAAGTTAGGGATTTTCCTAAATGGGAAATGGACTCCTCAATTCTGGCTATGTCTTCGTCCATGGCGGCCCTTAAGCTATTGAACCCCCTGCACTGCTGCACTGCCAAGGATGAGATGCCTGTCCCTGCTCCTATTGCCCCCAGGCCAAAAAGAGTGGCCAAGGTTATTGCTGTAAAAGGCTCCCCCCCCCTTTTTTTTTTAATTAAGTTAGAGTCTTTTCCTTCTCTGGTCCAAGCAGCATAGATGGTGTATTCTTGATGATAGATGACCTTAGGGAACACTAGTACCATAATGCAGTATTCTTCAGACTCATTGAAGACTGATAGTCTTAGGCAGGGGGTTAGGCCTGTCTTTGAACAGACCCACCACCCGTTGAGTGCTGAGACCAGCCATTTTATTCCACTGGTCCGGTCCATGGTAGGGTGAACCTCGGCATAAAACTGCTTGTGGCTATTGGGCACCTTTCCTGTGCAGGTTCCATTTCCGATGACTGTAGGAAGAGTCAGTCTCGGTCTCTTATGGTCCCATTTACAAGACTTGGGAATTTCTTCTCCTGACTGGCTAAAGGGGGTAGCTATTCCCACTGCTTCATAGAAAGGGGGTCTGATACCATAACATAACCAGCACGTCTCGGTGAGGGCTGGTTCAGTATGCTTTAAAGTCTCATGTGCCGCTGTCAGCATGTTCCATAGGGAGTCCTCGGCTTCTTCTGCTTCAGGGGTGTTCTGACCTTTAGGGATGACCTGACTTACAGTTTCTGCCCTGGCGAGTTGTGGAGAGGAGACTGTTGGTTGCGGAATTGGTCTGTTCTGCTTTTTCCTTTTTACCTGTACCTCTGGGTTAGGCCCTACAGCACCTGTGATGGGAGCCACTTTAAGTTTGATTTGTATTATTGAGCAGAGATATGGCCTTTGATAGAGACATATTCCCCAGGACAGCCCTGACATCCACCTTTTATCTTTCTTTCCCTCTTCTGTAAGTTTTACCCATATCAGGTTACAGTCTCTGGCATACCTGTCTCTAGTACAATGTTGGACATAGGACATTTTAATGAAAAGAGGTTGTACCTGCCATTTCCACTCCTCGTCATTTGTGGTCACACACCACCATTTGGCACAATAATAACCTCCAATACCCCCACACTGACGGTTTTCCTGAGGGGACCGGAATCCCAGACAGGCATAAAACCCATTTCGGCTCATAGAGGTCCGTTCCACGTCTTCCCTCCATGGTCCAGTTACCCAAGAACTGGGGATTGGGGCAGCAGCGGGGCCTCCTGAGGATATCGCTACTGTCTGTGCTGGCTTTTCTAGGGGACTGACTTTTTCTAAGTTGAAATATAAATCTGGCTACCAGGTGTTTAGTGGCTCTGCCCTTGAGGTGCTATTGTATACCTCATGGGTTTCTAAGTTCGTTATTTCTCATGTAAGTTTATATGGCAGATGTGGGTTCTCATTATTAATCACAACTGCAAAACTTTGGTCCAAGAGCAGGATATCCATAATGCACTTGCATATGAAACATAGAACAATACCCAACCCCATCTTTGCAGCTTAGTCCCAATCTTTGGGGTAACTAGTCCCAGTCCGAGTCCTAGCAGGGCGATCAGCAGTTCTACCAGCATCTGAGTCAGTAGTTTCGTTTACTCCGCAGATGCCACACGGGTCAGCCTGGTCCTTAGTGGATTTGTGAGGTCTGCTGTCGCCTCCACTCGTCCTGCCATTGCTTCTGCTTGTCCTCACCAGCCGGTCTCACGGGGGAGTGGTGGATCCAGGTTGCTACCCCGTCAACCTTAAGAGCAGTGGGGGTAACAAGAATAATTTGAAAGGGTCTTTTCTATTTAGGCTTTAGGGTTTTACTGTTATACCGTTTTACCCATACCCAATCCCCTGGATGGTGATGGTGATACAAGTGTTTAATACTCTTGCTCCCTGGCCCAGCTGTCTGGTAGATGGCCTGGAGGGCCGGCCACACTTGGCTGTGAACACTTTGCAGAGCTTGCACAGCCTGCAGCACCCCTCTAGGGTGTTCCGGGAGAGCCTCAGGGCTCACCCTAGGGATTACAGGTGAAGGGGTACCGTACACAATCTCAAAGAGGGTTAGGCCCAAATGGCAAGGGGTGTTCCGGGCTCAGAACAGGGCGAAGGGAAGGAGGGTCACCCAGTCCCCGCCAGTCTCTAGGACCAATTTAGTTAAGGTCTCTTTTAGGGTTCTGTTCATTCTTTCTACCTGCCCTGAGCTCTGGGGATTATATGCACAATGTAACTTCCAATCTGCCCCCAGTGCCCGGGCTAGCCCTTGACTGACCTGACTTGTGAAGGCTGGCCCATTGTCAGACCCTATGCTCTCTGGCAGCCTGTACCTAGGAATTATTTCCTCCAATATTTTTTTTTGCTACCATTAAGGCAGTCTCTCCTTTAGTAGGAAAAGCTTTTACCCACCCTGAGAAGGTGTCTACCATGACCAACAAATACCTGTACTCATATTTTTCAGGTCTTACCTCTGTAAAGTCTATTTCCCAAAATAATCCTGGTTGCCTTCCCCGCTCCCTGGTATCTGCATGGGTCCCTCTGATCCTCTCCGGCTGCATAACCTGGCAGACACGGCAGTTCCGGACAATGTCTTTCCTTGTGATTTGAATCTGATTTGTGCAGTGTCCAGCAACTGTAACATTTTCCTTTTTCCCAGATGCGTCGTCTGGTGCAAGTGTCCTATCCTAGTAGGTGGTTCTCTAAGGCTTCAGGAACTACTAGGCGATGCTCTCTATCTTGGAGCCAACCGTCCTTACTCTGTGTTGCCTGCAGTTTTTCTTTGGCCCAGGTTATATCCGTGCTGGAATAATCCGGTTGGGGGGGCATCTTTCCCATCCCAGGAGGTGGCAAGCTCAAACATAGAACATCTGTTAGTGCTGGTTCCTCTGCAGCCCTTTTTGCCTCAGTGTCTGCAGCCCGGTTGCCCCGGGCTTCAAAAGAATCCCCCTTCTGGTGTCCCGAATGTGGACTACTGCCACTGCTTTTGGCAACAAAATGGCTTCTAGCAGCTGAAGTATTTCAGTCTTATGTTTGATTTCTCTGCCCTCTGCCGTGATGAAACCTCTCTCTCTATAGAGAGCCCCATGTATGTGTACTGTCCCAAAGGCATAGCGACTGTCAGTGTATACCGTCAGCCTCTTTCCTTGGGCCCTACGGAGGGCTTCCGTCAATGCCACAGTTCCGTCTAGTTTTTTTGACAGGTGCGCCACTGGGCGCCTCCAAGGTCCTAGTGCCTGTGTGAGCACTCTCTTGGCTGTTCTCTTTTTCTCATCTACAAACAGATGGAACTCCTTTGTAGGATCAGGAAGCGCCAGAGCTGGAGTCTTTAACATAGCTGTTCTCAAGGCTCGAAAGGCACTCTCTATCTGCACTGTCCATTTCCACGTTTTCCCTGCCTTGCACCCCTCATACAAGAGTTGAGCCTTCTCTGTGAACCCCTGAATCCAGAGGCAGCAGTATCCCACTGACCCCAGGAATTCCCGCACTTTCCGACATGAGGTCGGGGTGGGTATTCCAAGCACAGTCTGTTTCATTGCTTCTGTTAGCCACCTTTGGCCTCCCTTAATTTTATATCCTAAATAGGTGACTTCATCCTTGCAAATCTGGGCCTTCTTGGCACTAGCTCTGTAGCCTATTTCCCCTAGCACTCTGAGCAAGTCTTTGGTGCTCTCCAGGCAGGTCTGAAGGGTTGGAGCAGCTAATAATAAATCATCTACAGGCCGGGCGTGGTGGCTCACGCCTGTAATCCTAGCACTTTGGGAGGCCGAGGCGGGCGGATCGCTCAAGGTCAGGAGTTCGAAACCAGCCTGAGCAAGACCCCGTCTCTACCAAAAATAGAAATAAACTAATTGACCAACTAAAAATATATATACAAAAAATTAGCCGGGCATGGTGGCGCATGCCTGTAGTCCCAGCTACTCAGGAGGCTGAGGCAGTAGGATCGCTGAGCCCCGGAGATTGAGGTTGCTGTGAGCCAGGCTGACGCCATGGCACTCACTCTAGCCTGGAAAAAAAAAAAAAAAAAAAAAATCATCTACATACTGCAGCAGGGTCACCTCTGGGTGGTTGGCACGGTACTCACCCGGGTCTTCGTGAAGGGCCTCATTGAACAAAGTGGGCAAGTTCTTAAACCCCTGGGGCAGTCTTGTCCAAGTCAGCTGCCCCTGGATCCCTCTCTCTTCGTCCTGCCACTCAAAGGCAAATATTTCTTGGCTGTGCGGGGCCACGGCTAGGCTGAAAAAGGCATCCTTTAAATCTAGGACAGTGTACCAAATCTGCATTGGAGGAAGGGAGCTTAGTAG